TACGCTGTTTTCAATTTTATATGTCCATTTAAATCCTAAATATTAATATTTAAAAGTAGCAAGAGGTAGGGCACAAAATGGCGGCGTTTTCCATATGAATATATAGGTCTTTGAAGAACCAATTAAAAATGAGACAGCAATTGTCGCCTCTGTGAATGGTATCTAATGAAAGAAAAGGATCGCGCAATCTCACGATAGAAGATATATTATATACATAGAATATTAGCGCTTTCGACTTTTTTCTCAAAACTGCTCCCGATTGATCAAAAATCGATCCGAACCGGATTCACGTGTTCGACTTGAGTAATAAACGCTCTCAAATCTTGCACGGAGCTCTATTCCTTGCTCCGTCAAATTCGATAAATCAATGATTGATCAAAACAAAACAATTAAAGTACGTTCGGCTATTGATTTCAAATAGGGTGCCTTCGCTTGGATCATAATCGCTCTCGGAGTACCTTCGCAGAGGTCTGTGACGTCACCGCCCAAATAGAGAGCGCTCCGGGAGCAGTAAAGCCGAAAATGCTTTTAGATAATACTGTTACGTCGGTTGAATGCACAAACAAAAATAAGTTGGGTTATGTAGTGGTGAAAAGCAAAAAAAAAATTGAAAATGTTTGGGGTGGACCACCCTTTTCACTTAGGGGTATAAAAAATAGCGTAAAACCTATTCTCAGACCTACTGAATATACATATAAAATTTCATAAAAATCGGTAAAGCCGTTTCGGAGGACGAAGGTAACTAAAACTGTGACATGAGAATTTTATATATTAGATATTTAAAAGTAGCAAGAAGTAGGGCACAAAATGGCGGCGGAAGCTCTATTGTTGCCACTGTAGATGAGGCTTATTTAGTCACTGTTGTAATACCATTTGCACTGTAAAACCATTCCGTATATGACTCCATCTATGATACATGATGGAAACCTTCATTTAGTTTTCGATCCTGAAAAGGGTGAGTACAAATTTGTGAATATTGTGACAAGTTATGTTTATGTTATTTTATTAGGCAATCCAAATCACGTGATTCAATATGGCAGTGCAGGCCGACATTATTTTGTTAACATTTGATTCTGTGTTAATTGTGTGAATTAATATGAATTTTTGAATCAGTGGTTATTGACGATTCAGATGATTTTTTTTGTTTTCTTTACATTCTTTGAACTGTGCCTGAGTATATTTATTTGGTTGTACTTACACTTAACAAGAATATTGCCCACAAAAATGTACCTAAAAAGGGATGATGTTTTTAGTTGATTTAGGTGATTTCTGATCCAGGGAATAATCATTAATTTTCTTCAACCAAGGCCAAATTCACCATCGAAAAAAACTGAATTTAATGCAGCTACTAGATACGTTAACACAACATTTAATAGGTATTTAATAATTCAGAGGCGGTACGAAGTTCGCCAGGTCAGCTAGTATATCTATAAATATCTCATAAGGCAAGGCATCGGTGGTGGTCGTGTGGGTTAACGCGCTGGACTACATGGGAAACGTTGATGGTAGACCAAGTTCGAATCCTGACTAGACCGAAAATTATTTTCGGTCAGACATTTAGTGGCTGCCTAGGGTAAAGTGCAAATTAATAAAACAACAACAACAAAAATACCTCAGGGTATTATAAGCGGGCGTTATGGATCAGGTTGTAATAAATAGGTCAAGGAGAATACATACTCACAAGGAGTGCTTATCGGCCTCATTTTTGGTAATCGTCGCCATATTGGTTTTAACTGTTTTCAACCATTGCCGACGTCATAACTAAGTCGTCGGCTGTTTAAACAGCCTACGTCAAGACGAGAAACGCCATGCTGCTCACGTCACAACTGATTGTTTGGCCTGGGGGGGGTAAGGGGGGATTTGTTACACACAGGCCTTATGAGGATAAGCCATCCTGTAGTAGTAATGTGTATCATCGTTGGTAATAGGTATGTTAACGTATTTCGTTTCTTAGGTATTATGGAGCTATAATAGTTAAGTAGAAAATAATAGTTATTTATGTATCAAGGGAATTATAAGGGTGTTAATACCCCAGGGCAACGTTTGTGTCCCGAGGGCCTCTGGCCCGAGTGATACCAATTGCCCGTGGGTATTAACACCTGATAATTCCCGTGGTAGATAGATAATTTTACATCCTATTGAATTTACTGTATTCTGTCTATTTTTATGAAGGGATAAACCAGAAATCAAAATTTCTATTTCTTCTCAAAGTTTTACCTATTCAAGGTAAAAGCGGGAGTTATGGAAATCCTTAACTCCCTTGGGAGTTATAATATCCTTAACTCCCGCGCGGGAGTTATGAAAGTCCTTAACTCCCTTGGGAGTTAAGACCCTGTTTATGATTATCGTAACCAAGGTATTATACACTGAGAAAATTTTTTCATTGTCATAGCTAATTTTTCTGCTGCCGTAGCCAAAAATTTTGGCTACATAGGGGACAGCCAAGATCTTTACTACCGCCGAAAAGATAACTTTACTGGCACCGTTTATTTGCGGTAGCAAAGTGACTTTATAAAGAATTTACTCACAGTTTCTACAAGGTCACTTTGCTGGCATAGAAAAGCTACTTTGCTGTCGTAGGAAAGTAACTATGCTGTCCTAGAAAAGAGGTTATATACCCTCAAAAACATCCTTTTTTGCTATTAAAAATAGATTGCTAAGACAGAAAAGATATTTGTTATTGTTATTAGAAATGCTTCCTGAAATAGGAAAGCGTTTGTCTCAGAACAAAAAATTTCTTGCCAGAATCAGCCAAGTGTTTTATTAGCCATGGGAAGTTATTTGTCCCACCAATAGCAAAAATATTTTGCTGGAAATCTTTGGAAATATGTAGAAGCGCGTCCATCATAACAAAACCAGGAGATAAACAAACTCTATTTAAACCCCTAAACTTTCATTACCTGATCTGAAATAATGTCAATTAATGAAAAGTTTGGCACTAGAGTTGTTTCTGCTAGTTTTGATGGATGCGCTGGCACCATTTCCAAAAAGATTCCCAGCGACCGACACTCGACTTGACTCGACAGCATCCACGATCCACACCGTACGGCGTTAGCTACTAAACTAAAATGGAAGAAAATGAACACGAAACATATTTTATCGGTTATTTTTGGACCCGAAGAAATCACGGAAATGTCCGAACTCCGAACGGTATTTTTAGTTAAGTTATTTGGCTAGGGTAGCAAAAAACATTACTGTAACGATAACAAAAATTACAGGAATTTTTTTTTGCTATGCAACAGTAAAGTATCTATCTATCTTAGAAAAGTTCTATTTCGGAGAAGCAGAAATATTTTCATAAAATTTTAATTTTGCTATAACAGCAAAGTTTGGTTTTGGAATAAGAAATATCTTTGCAGTTTCAATAAAGTAGTTTCAGCAAAGTGGTATTTTCTGTAGAAGCAAGATAACATTGCTACCTCTAAAACATTTTCCACTGTAACAGCTAAAAAAAACCAGCAAAGAATTATCTCCTGGGACTTTTCTCAGTGTAGGGTTATAATAGTTCAGTAGGATATAAAATATATAGAGGGTCGATAACTTACGTTCAAAATCAAATAAAGGTTTGCATTTCACAGTAATATAAGTGCTTGATATTTATATACATATTCATGAAACTGATTAATTTAAGAACCATCTGGATTTAACACTGAGCATTCGTTACATTTAATAGAGAGTTCTCGTGCTGTCCAAATTTCAAATACCGTTATTTGAAAAGTATGGCAGTTCTTACGGTATTAGCGTAGCGTTAGCGGAGCCCGCTATGTAACGGGAGTTAGCGGATGCCTTACCGTAACGCTATGTTATGTCAAAATTAGTTTACGCTCCATTTACGTCTGCAAGAACAGCAACTTCTAATAATTCCTCCATAAAAAACACCAAGGAAAAATTTATCACTCAGAATCTTCAGGATAAATAATGAGTTAGAAAACAAGCAAAAAAAAAGTTGGGTGTGTCCGAGAACTATAAAAGACCATGTAAAATACCGTATTGTTAGCGGTATTGTATTAGCGTAGCGTCTGAGGCACGAGAACTATTGATACTGTAATTATCCGCTCATGCTGACCCAAACCTCGACCCAAACTTACTGTATACCAAATAATGGGCTCCGGTCCAAAAGGCCGATATGCAAAAGCGCGAGATTCAAAATGGCGGTCTTATTTTAGCGATATTCAAAACAGCGACATATCAAAACAGCGACATTTAAAAAGAGCGACATATCAGAAGAGCGACTTATCAAAAGAGCAATATTTGAAATGGCGACATCTAAGCAGAACAGCGACATTATCGGAGGAACGACCTATTTAAAGCCCGACATCTAAAACAGCGACATCTAAACCGAATAGCGGCATAATAGAAGAGCAACATTTAAAACGGCAAAATCTAAACAAAACAGCGACATATCGAAAAACTTGTCTGTAACTGTCCTTTCCTTTATCCTCGCTGACGTAAAGCTTGTTTCTGTACCACTTTCTGTCTGTACTATCTATTAATGACATGCTTTGAGGCACCGTACGATGGCAACATCTGTTCTACATTAAGATCAGTAATATTACTTCCAATCAAATTTCTTGGCCTAACTTCAACATTTTCTTTTGACTTTTGCTTTATTATGCTAGTGTGTGACAAATAAGTAATAAACAAATTGAATCAATAATAATCAAGAAAATGCAGACTTATTCAAACTAACCCGTCCACCTAGTGCGCGATTTAGTCCTTGAAAGTTACCATTTTATTTGAAGAAACAGAGTTCATTTAGTTCTAGCGTAGCATCCGTTGAACGCTCGATTTTATCATTTTCCTTCTGACTGGAGTTAAAATTACCATACATTTGCTGGAACAGCTGATACTTGCAAAATGTCAGCAACTGCTGGAACATAAATATGTTACTGCGCATCTCTCTAGTTGCTGCTAACATTTCTATCAGCCCGTTGTAACAGACCTAGTTAGATTTCAACAATCTTAAAACATTTTAATCAGAAGTGGTTTACTTTTTACAGGTTCAGTAAGAGTTATGGAGGAAAAAATTGTTTCCTGAGAGTACTGTGTGAAATGTCCCGATATACTACAAAAGATACCGACGTTTTAGGAGACATAGTCCACATCATTTTAAGGTAGGTGAAATAGCTATTTACCTAACAAGTGCGGAAATAGTTATTTTCCTAACAAGTGCGCAAAGTGTTACTTTACGAAGCGGAGTTCGGATACGTGTTTGCGTGCGGAAAAGACACTTTGCGCACGTGTTAGGAACAATTTCTTTCCTACGAGCTTCATATCAGGTAGGTAACAACAAAAATTTAAAAAAAAACGACAATTTGTTTAATTATTTTTAATTAATTTGAAGGGAACCTATGCATTTATCAAAAAATTACATAACAAAAAAAAATAACAGAAAATCCTCGTCAGAGCTGTTCATCTTAAAGCGTTTAAATTTGATGAGAAAGTTTGTAGATTTTTGCATATAAATAGAGAACAAAACTGACAATGTGTCAAAGTTAATTTATATTTGGTGTTTGTATAGATGTTGGCTGATACAGAAACAGAGGAAAAATTTGTCATCATGTGTCAAAGTCGACAGGTGCACTTATTGTTGCTTGACAATTATAATTACTTTTCGGCACTCAGTGCGGATAAGGCCTGTATCCGCACTGAGTGCGGAAAAGTGTAACTTTGAGCCCGGAAATGAGTGCGGAAAAGTACTACTTTGCGCACGCTCGTAGGAAAAATATTTTCTGCAAGTGTTAGGTACAATAGTTTTTCTACAGGCGTGCGGAAATAAGTATAACTACATGATTTGTAGAAATTTATATAAATTTTTTTTTTTTGACAGCCCTGCGTACAATTTTTTTCCGCACTAGTGCGGGAAAACCAATTCTCCGCACGGGTATTGGTGCGGAAAATTGATTTTTCCGCATAGCTGTAGAAAAAGGTCTTTAAAGAAAAAAAAACAAAAATTCAACCACAGAAAACATATAAGTTAACTTCAATCCAAAAATCAAACACCACACACCTACAGTGTGTTCGCATTAAGGAACCTTTGGCTCTTTCACTAATTTTCTGAATTGGCATAATTGGATGTAGTATATCCTGATCAGGAATTATTGGCATCAAGTGGGCTCCCTTCTTGTCTTTGTTACCCTGCTTCCCTGGTTTTAATTTTACAGCTTACCTAAGCCACACTGTGTTTATTTATCTACCCTCTACCCTTCAACTCGAAGAAACCAAAATCAGGAACACAGTATTTTTTAGTAAATTAATACTCGTAATTATTTCGGAAGTGTTTTAACAAAAAATATCATTAAATACAATTGATTAAACTATTTGAGGAATATTTTACACAAATGAATATATCATATCCATTTAATTTTGTTGAAACATTATCAGCGGCCGTAGCACGTATTAATAACTTTTTGAATTATGTCATCTAAACATGGGACGTGAACAATATTTGCATAGGTAATTATTACAGAAATTACTATCCTATCCCAAAAACTGACTGAGGATATTAACATTTATAAATAGAAGCTTTCGAGCAGAGCAGCGTAGAAATTTTCAAAGGCATTTAAATTGCTTCTTATAGGATTTTCACGCTATATTTAGGATGACGTCACATTTAGTAAATTTCTGCAGCAAATTTGACAAAACTAAAAGTACTTCTTAACGCATTTAAAGTAGGGGAATTTCAGATGTTTCTGGTTGGTAACGGCGCGCGATGTTGCATGATTTAAATGAACATTTTCAAATAAATAACGCGTGTCGATTCATTTCGTTATTTTTGCTGTCACTGATCTTGATAATTCATTATGACATTCTGGTAAATTATAAGAAAACAAATAGGCATTGACAACATTGTCAGTCCTTGTTCTCTGACGTCATCCTAAATATAACGTAAAAAACCTATAACTACCTATCTGAACAAAGCCATAATGATTGTTTTCCAAATTAATTTAATACGCACTAAAGATATAATTTTAGTCTATGCTTGATATTATCTACCTATCTACGTGTTCATCCTTTTAGGTGGAATATTAGCATCAGGATTTTGTAAAACCGAAATTGACAAATGTAACGAGCTTCTGTTGGAACAAAAGCTATGCTCAGCTGTTTTTTTAGCTTGAGCTGGTTCTTGGTGTCACTAGTTTGCATAAAATAACTAGCTGACCCGGCGAACTTCGTACCGCCTCTGAATTATTAAATACCTAGAAAATGTTGTGTTAACATATCTATTAGCTGAATTAAATTCAGTTTTTTTCGATGGTGAATTTGGCTTTGGTTGAAGAATATTAATGTTTACTCTCTAGATCAGAAGTCACCTAAAATTAAAATTTTACATCATCCCTTTCAAGGCAGCTTGTGGGCATTTTTCTTGTAAAGTGTACCACCAAATAAATAAACTCAGGCACAGGAATGTTCAAAGAATGTAAAGAAAACAGAAAAAAAATCTGTACTACTCCATCTGTTCTACTCTATCTGCACTATTCTATCTGATCTACTCTTTCTGCACCACTCTATCTGATCAGAATAGTGGAATAGTTCTGTTCTAAATATCTCCAGTTCCTGAGCAGCATGGTTCTACTGCATCTGCAATGAAATTACCGCGCATCGGTGAGCTTCGTTCTAGGTATCATATATGGCGCCGTATACAAAATGGTTGTGGCGGACTCATAACCTGGCTCTCTGCCATTCGACACCAGCCGGACGGAGCACTCCGAACAGTCGGCACGGAACACGGCTGTCAAGGGATGCCTGAGAGCAGAAACGGAACTTAGCCACAGAACGTCAATGGTCAAGCGTCAAGAAATGACAGGAAGACCAGTTCGCGCTCTTTCGGAATGGACCAACAATAAAATAAAATACACAATTAAAACATTTTTATTGTGAAGAACAATTGAAAGTAAAGTACTTTCCTTAAATTGTTTTTGTACAAAGTGTGTGACAATAAAATCCACATGGTTTGCAATGAAAATGTGACGGTAAACTTGGTATCGGTTATAAGAGATGGCGCCGTATGCGGGCTTATTAATTTTTTTTTATAAATAAGTAAAAAAGGTAATTTTTTTGTTTTGTTTTTTTTTTGGATTTTTTCGATTTATTATGTTAGGATAGACAAAGACAAATCCAATAAAGCAAAAATCATAAAAATCAGTCCAGCCGTTCTCGAGTTATAAGTGCTTCCACAAAACACAACTGTGTTTTATATATATAGATATAAAAATATAATAATCCAAAATTTTCACATAAATATCTAATATATAAAATTCACATGTCACAGTTTTAGTTACCTTCCTCCTCCGAAACGGCTTTACCGATTTTTATGAAATTGTATATGTATAGTCGGTAAGTCTGAGCGTAGGTCTTAAGCTATTTTTTATACCCCTAAGTGATAAGGGTGGTCCACCCCAAAAAATTTTTATTTTTTTTTTGCTTCTCACCACTACATAACCCAACATTTTTGTTTGCGCATTCAACCCACGTAACAGTATTATCTTATAGCATTTTCGGCTTTACTGCTCCCAGAGCGTTCTCTATTTGGGCGGTGACGACACAGATTTCTGCGGAAGTGCTCCGAGAGCGATTATGATTCAAGCGAGGGCACCCTATTTGAAATGAATAGCCGAACGTACTTTAATTGTTTTGCTTTGATCAATCATTGATCTATCGAATTTGACGGAGCAAAGGATAGCGCTCAATGCGAGATTTGAGAGCGTTTATTGCTCAACTCGAACACGTGAATCCGTTCCGGATCGCTGTTTGATCAATCGGGAGCAGTTTTGAGACAAAATTCGAAAGCGCTATTATTATATATTTCATACAGATATCGTCAAATTGCGCGGTCCTTTTCTTTCATTACATACCATTCACAGTGGCGACAATTGCTGTCTTATTTTTGATTGGTTCTTGAAAGTCCTATATATTCATATGGAAAACGCCGCCATTTTGTGCCCTACTTCTTGCTACCTTTAAATATGAATATATAGGATTAAGGGCGGGTATTATAAAACTGCTTTGAAAGTTAACTTCTGGAATTATATGTAATTCAAAAAGTTAACTTTAAGTTAACTGTCAAAGCAGTTTTATAATACCCGCCCTTAAATGAACATCCATCATAAAAAATTGAAAACAAGGTATTTGATGACTATTATGAGGTAGGTACATCAAATACGTTGTTTCCAATTTTTTTATGATGGATGTCCATTTAAATCCTATATATTCATATTTGAAAGTAGAAAGAGGTAGGGCACAAAATGGCGGCGGGATCTCTATTGACGCCACTGTAGATAAGGCTTATTTAGTCACTGTTGTAATACCATTTGCACTGCAATACCATTCCGTATATGACGCCATCTATGATACCTGATAGAAACCTTCATTTAATTTTCGATCCCGAAAAGGGTGAGTACAAAGGATAACGCACACCTAACATGGAATTCTTGGGCTCTATGGATTTTGCCCATTTTTTGATATGTTGTAGAGGATTTAATTCTGAACAACCTTTAAATGGGACGAAATCTTGTAGGTACTACGGTCTTTGAGATATGAGCGTTGAAAGAGGAACTTCTTTGCGACTTTTTGTGAGGAGAGTATACGAGATATGGTGCTACTGGTGTTTATCAGTCAAAATATTGACAGGTTCACATATTTTACGTCACTCACAAATTAATGTCAACATAGGTTAAGGCCGGGGCCGCACTGGGGTCAATGTTGGCGCTAGTGCGGTCCTGGCCTTAGCCTATGTTGACATTTGTTAGTGACGTGAAATATGTCGACCTGTCAATATTTTGACTGATAAACACCAGTTTTCGTATACTCTCCACACAAAAAGTCGCAAAAAAGTTCATCTTACAACGCCCATATCTCAAAGACCGTAATACCCACAAGACTTCGTCCCATTTCAAGGTGAATCAAACGTCAAATTGTCGAAGCAACGTCAAAAAAGAGCGAATTTCGCGGTTATGAGTACTAGGCTTTATCAATCTGACACTTTTCTGACATCGCTGACATGTAACAACCCGTATTCTAACCTTATAAAAATTTCAAAATGCCGGCTGGTTGGCAAAAGTCACGTGGTTTGGATTCCCTAATTGCTGTCTTATTTTTTATTGGTTCTTTAAAG